TTGGGCTGCAGCAGCCCCCCTGTTTGCATTGCATCCACCCCCCAAATGCAGCTCTCACAGCCCCTCTGCATCCCCGCAGGCTCCCCAGCTTGCACCGGGCAGCCGGGTGCTGCTGCCAGACTGAGGTACGGGCAGGATGCAAAAGCACGCGTGACAAAAAAAATCAGTGCCTCCCTGCCAAAAGGAGCCGGGGTGTCCTCAGGATGCTACAGCTCCCCCGGCATGCTAAAATAGAGGATTTGGGAGGGGATCCTCTCTTTTTTTTCCCCCCTGTACCCACACTTTCGCTGCCAGGAGGTGGTGGCATTGCTTGAGACAACAGGACAGGGCTGGGAGAGACTCTGGGATGGTCTCCATCCTCCCAGCATCCTCTCAGAGGATGCTAGTGCAGTCCTGCATCTCCCTGCTACAGTGGGAGAGGATGCTACCATGGTCCCAGAGAAGCTGGGCGAGGATGCTACCACGGGCTGACATGTCTCCGCTGAAGCCGGGCGAGGATGCTACAGCGGCCACATCTCCTTGCCGAAGCTGGCATGGAGCAGGGTTGCTATGGAGATGCTGGCGCATATGCAGCCCTTCCGAGAGGGGAATTTACTCCCAAGATTTCACATTAAAAAATAAACCACCAACAACTGTCAAAACTGTTCAGTACCTGTGGATGTGGAGCCCATGGCAGGGGGCATCTGCCCATGGGACCCCTGCTCGCTGCCAAATGCCAAGCCTGGCCACCATCCCTGTGCCATCCCCTCTCTTGTCCCCCCAGCCATCATTCCCATTTCAGCACAGCCCGACCCCTCTGCCCAAGAGCCAAAGGGCTGCACAGACCCTGCGTCCCACTTTTGGGATCTCCCCTCTGATTTAAGGGGTGATCCTCCTGCCAGGAGGCTGATGGCAAGAGGGCACGACAGGCTCTGCCATCGCCCATCTGCCCACCCCCTGCAAAGCACAGGCTGAGCTGCAGGCAAAGGGCAGCTCTGGCTGCACCCCAGCGGGACCCCGAGCGTGCTCAAGACATGGGGACCAGAACACAAACCAACCCCCCAAAAACCCAGAGGACCCCTCCATGCAGGCAGCAGCCCGAGTGCAGGGGGAGCTGCTTCTCGGGGTCCTGTAGGTCTCGTCCTCCTGGCCCGCACCGCCCAACGTGGGACGAGCCACCCCACCTGTTTTCAGGAGCTCCCCAGGCCTTGGGGTGGGGGCAAAGAGCTGTGCTGGTGGGGCCAGGCAATGCTGTGGGGTGCCCACCATGGGCAGGAGCCAGACTCTAGGAGGGACCATGGGCTCTGCCCACCAGGGAAAAAACAATTTGACTTTAGCAAGAGGGTTTTGGGGGCAGCGGGAGTGAAAAGCAGGCAGAGAAGGGCAGGCTGGAAGGAGGCGCTGGTTGATGCCCTTTGCAGTGGGCACCAAGGAGGTTCAGAGGTGCTCAGGAGCCCCTACCCCACACCTAGGCATTTTCCAGGAAAACACACCAGGGATGGGATGGGATGGGATGGGATGGGATGGGATGGCATGGCATGGCATGGGATGGGATGGGATGGGATGGGATGGGATGGGATGGGTTTTCCAGGAAAACACACCAGGGATGGGATGGGATGGCATGGCATGGGATGGGATGGCATGGCATGGCATGGCATGGCATGGCATGGCATGGCATGGCATGGCATGGCATGGCCAGGTCCCAGACCCTCCCCCCCCACAGAAGCCACTCCACTTTAGTTAAAGCAAAAATAATTGGGTGGAGCCATAATTACAGTCTTAATTCACCTGCTTGTGGAACCTGCAAGAAAACCCACGAGGTGGGGGGCACAGAAAGAGCTCTGCCTACAGCTTTCTAAGCCACACGAAGAGTTGAGTGTCACCCTAAAAACTGCCCATGCCTGGCCCCCAGCTCCATCTGTGTGGCCGAGCCGGGGTGCGGGTGCTGCAGCTGCACCCAAGCACCCTCTGCGCACCACAGCGGCGGGTGGGAGAACCCTGCGTGGGGCGGCGTGGGTGACCACAGGCTGCTGCTCCCCAGGGATGCTCTGCCCATCTCCCTGCCCACTGGCACAGCACAGCCACCCTGGCTGCCACAGCCCCACAGCTCCCTTGGGAAAGGAGCAAGGGAATAACACCTGGTGCAGCCCCTGGTGCCCCTTCCAGCATATCAGCAAGGCTCCTGCCCGGTGCTGCTTACTCCAACCCTCCCAGCATGGACACTGGGCATCACCGGAGGACGAGATGGCAGTCCAGCATATCAAACAAATGGGAACTGGGTATTGAAATCCCATTCACAAGCACGGCTCAGCCCTGGGATGGGTGAGGCCGCGGGCACCCATTTGCCTTGGCCACGGGGTCTGCACGAATCACAGCTCCATGCACCAAAAGCCTCTACCCTGCTTGTGCAAAGCCTGGGGCTCTGCACGGCCACATCCCCTACTCCAAAAAGACCCCACCCCAGGGCAGCCAGGCAGACCCCGGAGCACCCTGGCAGCCACCTGGGCCCCATCCTGTCCCTGGGCACCCCTGGGTGCTGGCAGGGCCCAGCAGCACACACGGTCGCCAGCACGGTGGCAGGAGGATGCACAGGGAGCAGGGTCGGGTGTGCTCCCTGCCAGCCCCAAAACCACCCCACAACTGCGTTGAGCTGGGGCTTGGGGTGAGAGGGACGGAGCTATCATCCCTATGGGGACACGGCTGACATGGGGAGAAGCCAGAGGACAGGGACCAGGGGTGCTGCTGGGGCAGGGGCTGCCCCAAGCCATGGGAACCTCCTGGAGCTGCAGAGGAGCGGGGCAGGTTTGCAGGCAGGGCAGGGCAGGGGTTGCCAAAGGGGCCACTGCAGGGTGGGTGCACCTACCGCTGGGTGAGAGCTGCTTCTGGACGCATCGCCCACGGTCGTCCTCCTGGAAGGCAGGCAGGCAGGGGCCACAGGCGCCCGGGGTGGGCAGGCAGCCCCCGAGGTCTCGCTTCCCTCTGCCCCGCAGCCTCCCCGGGACAGGAGCAGATGCTGCTTCCCAGCAGCAGGCAGGAGCAGGGGGGGTCTGAGTCACCCAAAAGTCGGAGACCCACTCCCCCCCGTGCCCAGGGACACGGCCCCTGGGGTGGGCTGGGTGGTCACCGCCTCGATGGCCAGTGGCCACAGTAATACTGGGACCCAGCCACCCTGGGCAGCGCCCGCTGCCGTTAATGTGTGCTTCACCGGTGCTGCCCCTTGGTCCCCCATTCCCCCCCTTTGCCTTTGGAAAGCCATCACCGACTGCAGTTACGCATGGGCCCTAATGACCTGGGAGTAGGACTCAATGGTCTTTTGGGCCCCTTCCAACTGGGGATATTCTGCGATTTTCTGACTGACGCAAGGCTGTTTGCTGCCTGTGGGCAGCACCTGTCCTCCTGCATGGGACCCTGAGCCCCAGGGTGCTGCAATCCCACAGGGCCCTGCAGAGCTGGCAGTGACGAGGGTCTCCCGCACCCGTCTGCAGCACCACGCAGGCAGTGCCCGAGCAAGCTGGTGGCTGAAATCCAACCAACACAAACTGATGCCTGTGTGGTAGCTGTCAAACAAAAAAAAACCCCAAACCAATCCTCCATGAAGCCTCAGCTCAGCCGTGCCAGGTCAGCACAGGCAGCAACAGCTTTGGTTTCCATCCCTTTGACATCGCCATGGAAAAATATAGGGACCCAGCCCTCCCCTGGCAATGTACCATGGCCCAAACTTCCCTCATGGCTCTATGGAGCATCTCATTTCCATGTCAGACCCAGGGACCTCTCCAGTACCTGGGGGCAGGCACGAGCCCCCCCCACTACGACCTTGTCTGGACCCAACACTCTCGTGGCACTGTGGCAGCCCCATGGCCAGGAGCAGCCCCTGTCCTCCCCCAGCCTGGCTCAAGCCAGTGGGACTTCCTGGGGGGACACAAAGTCCCTGGGTCCTACACAAAGCTGGGTCTTGAGACCGGGTGATGGTGGCAAACCATGTGTGGAGATGGAGAGAGGAACCGTGATCAGCTGGGACAGTGACACACAGGGCAGTGCACAGCTCTCACCTGTGGCACGGGGCTGCGGGGACATGCTGGGGTCCCAGCTCTCAGGGACAGCAGCAGGAGCTGCTGCCGGGGACAGTGACGCTGCTGGGGACAGTGATGCTGCTGGCACTGCCGTGGCATGAGCACAGATGTCCCTCCCTCCTGAGCTGGCGGCAGTGCAGGGCTGGGTACTATACAATGCACCTGTGCCTGGGGCTGGGCACAGCTGAATGGGGGGGTGCACAGCTGGATGGGGGTGCACAGCCAGATGGGGTGCACAGCCAGATGGGGTGCAGCACACAGCTGACAGCCCTGCTCTTCACCTCGCTGTGTGTGGCCATGCCCACACCTTTCCTGCAGGCAGCAGCAGGCAGAGCACCGTGGCAGGGCCCTCGCTGGGAGCGGGGCCAGGCCTGGCCGCCCCCAGCCCGATGATGAGTCACGGGGGGAGCCGGCTCCCGGCACCGTCCCACGCTCCCTGAGCTGTCCCTGTCAGCCCTCACCTGCCCACGCCAACGCCACGGACAGAGCTGTCGCCGTCTGCTGCGGCACCGGGGACAGCCCCAGCACAGCACAGCACTGAGCATCCCACGAGCAGGGGCACCCCAACTCCGGGGGCTTTCCTGAGCACCCCCATCCCTGCAGCACACCGGGGGCGAGGGGCGCAGCTGCTGCCATGCCCAGGCACGGCTCGGTGGAGAGTCCCGGAATGGGATGGAGCCGCCAAGACATGAAGCTCCAGGGCCACCATGGCAGCTCCGCTCCCCCAGCAAGGGCAGAGGTGCCAAGTGGGAGGGCACCCCAAAGCCACACACGTGGGATGCCAAGCAGGATGCCGCCCACAACAAATCCCCTTTTGCATGGCCCTGTTTCACCATTAAACTGCTCACCAGAGGGTGCAACCACCACCAGCAGCCCCCAGACTGTGCCAGGATCCCTCCCCACTGCACCCCATGGGGCATTGCATTCATCACCCTTGGCTGACTGTGCCAGGGAAGGGCAGAGCTGCCTTTGCCACAGCGGTTCCTCGCAGGGTTTTCTTAGCAGCTGACCCCCGCACCAGGTGCAGCAGCCTGGAGAGGCATCGCTCGGGGTGGGGGGGCAGAGACCACCGTTCCCGCAGGTTTGCTCCCTGGGGACAGTGTGGGGCTTGGCCAGGTGGCTGGGGGAGAATTAATGCTTAATGGGAAAATAATCGGGCATTTAAGCGCAGAAATTGGACTCGTCCGCCCACTTCACCTGCAATGCCACTTTGTTTAAAAATCACAAAACAGCCAAAACTCGCAGCTGCTGAGGGGCAGGAGGAGGCTTTGGCACTGCCCAGCCCCAGGGGCAGGGACATGCCACATCCCCATGGGGTGCTGGGGACACACCAGAGACCCAAGGAAACATGTCCCCCCAAAACAGGCGCTGCCGCAAGCTGTTCACTGGTGGGAAGAAGCCACCCTGGCACGGGTCGCCCGGCACTTGCAGCCACCCAGCACCATCAGACCCCAGTGGGATCCTCAGAGCCACCTTGGAGCCACCTCAGGGCAGCCCCGAGCCAGTGCCCAGCAACCAGTTAAATAAACCCCAGCCTGGAATATATAAAAGGTCGTTATCTCTGTTTGAGGAACGAGCTGTGCTTGCCCAGCTGTCGTGGGCTGGGATTAGGAGCGAGACAGGCGGGCACTGATCTAATTAAGCTCCCCATGTGTAATCAATCGGTGGTTTGCGAGCAGATACCCTGCATGGGCACCCCGCAGGGTGAGGGGTCCCATGGGGCTTTGCCACCCTCCCTGCCTGCCCCAAGCCCAGTGGCTGCTCCCTAGCTGGGCTGGTGAGAGTGGGCACTCCCCGTGCTGGCACTCAGGAGCCCTGGGGGCACCTCCAGCTGCTGCCACCCTGGGGGGCTGCCACCCTCCCCCTCTTTTGCTGGCCCTCCCTGCCCCAGCCCTGCACACCCACATGTGCCTGGGCGGGCTGGTGCCCTGTGCTTCAGGAGGCAGGTGGTGGGGTCCAGCTCCTATTTCGGGGTGTACCTGACCCTTACCATCATCCCTTGGCTTCCCCAGCCCCGGCACAGCATCCTGGCCATGGGTGCCCCCTCCTGCACATTCACCCAATGTGGGTGCCAGGGCTGGCAGAGCATGTGGGTCCCGTTGCCACCCTGACAGTGGCCGTGCTATGGCCACAACACCCACCAGCACCAGTGACAGCTTGCGGGCTGCAGCCCCCCAGTCCTGCCTCTGCTCCCGTGGGGCTGCTGTTGAGCCTGGGAGAATTTGGGATTCCCCCCCACACTTCAACCATGCGCCCTGCCTGGCACCAGTACAGCCCAGTGTGGCTGGCCCTGCTGGCTGCTGGGGCAGGAGGGGCAGCCTGGCCGTGGGTGGGACGGGAAGGAGTGACCCAGGCTGGTACTGGGGGACAGGGACACGGCGGGGCAGCACAGACCCTTGCCTGTACGGCAAAGCGAGAAGAGTGTGTGACAACAGAGTCTGAAGCCAGCGCTGGCCACGGCACAGCTGGGATGCCACTGCCCAGATGTGCCAGGGGCATCTGGAGGAGGAGGATGCTCCATCCAACCGCTGTCACTGCAGCTGCCATGGTGCAAACCGCCCATGTGGGTGGGCAGCGAGCCCAGCCAGGCACAACCAGAAGTAACCCAGTAAACCAGGCTTTGGGCTGGGACAAGCCGCTGGTGGCTCCCCGCAGGCAGAAGCACAGGCAGGGGGCTGAACCCAAGGCAGGGGGCAAGCGGGACACTGCAGCTGGCACAGAAAGACAAACAGCGGGTGAGCACGAGCTGGGGAGGCATGGGAGCAGGAACAGCCCCACGCGCAGGAGGAAATGCTGGCGTACGAGCGAGGTGTGCACACACCCACACACGCCCTGGCTGGGTTATCCGGGTGGGAAAGCTCAGCACAACACCCCCAGCACTGGGGACCCACCCCGAGGAGAGCAGAGCACCTGGAACGGGCAGTGCCTGCTGCACCCCTCCAAATGCCATAGGGTTTGGCAGCATCTCACCATGGTCGGGCAGGGCAGGGAGCTGCTGGCAGTCATGGCCCTGGGTGAAGCAGTTTTTGACACTCGTGCCAAAACAAACAGGTGAAAAAAAACCCCCAACAACAACAGGGAGGATGTCCGTGTGGCTGGGAAGGCAGGGACTGCTCCCACTGCCGCAGATTGAGAGATAAAGTTAACGTAAGGGGATAATTAATTAGCACTGAGCACTGGTCTGAGTGCTTAGCTCGTGCACCCGCAATGCCAACACCCAGCCCCCTGGCTGACGGGGCCCGGTGCCAGCAGCGTGAGCTGGCAGAGCCCATCGGGCACCGGCTGCGGTGACGAGCGGGCACAGAGCTCACACCGGCCCTGGGGTCCGGCCATGGAGGGATATTGGGGTGCCCAGGTAACAGGGGTGCCAGTCTCCACTCCCATGCTGGTGCACAGCTGCAGCTGGACGGATGACCATGGCCAAGGGCATGGCATATCGCTGGCAGCAGCGTCAGCCTGGGCCACACAGCGGCGCGGTGTCTGCCAGCTCCACTCCAAGGTCACTCCTCCTCCTCCTCCTCCTCCTCCTCTTCCTTCTCCTCCTCCTCCTCCTGCAGCCAGGTGACGTGGGACCTGCTGTGGGCCCTGCCTGCCCTCCCAGCGAGTCCGCTCCCAGCTGGCACCATCTGGG